AAAGGAGAGGTTGCGACCACTCACGCCAAGTCAGGCCCTCACAGCGGGCCCTATCTGACGAGCCACCGGCAAATGTTTGGGGGCAAAAATCTGCAATCTTGAAGCGCCATTAAGTCAATCCCTCACCGTTCGCGAAAGCCGCCGATTGTTGCGGTCATCTCGATATGTCGCCACATCGCAAGCCCACACGCGTGCCTCTCTGGCCCCACCACACCCTTAACCACAAAATTACCCGAGCCAGAAATCTCGGCAGGCCTCCGGCCACAACTTGGCTCAATTCCATACATATTATATACGACAAAACCGGGGCAAACGCCAAGATAAACAAACAGTCCGTGGTGTCACAACGATCGCCTGCGTCGTTCTTTACAAGATTTCAACTTGACAATCAATTCTTTTAAATGCGAAAAATACCTGCTATGAACATATCATATTTATACTTACAATTATTATTAAAGATGATAATTAATAGATTATCAAAAGAATAACACAAAAGCGGATGTATAGCGCCATCTACGCGCACCAAAATTGTGATTAATTCTGGCTTTAATAAAATTTATCTTCATATTACTAAATAATCATATTTATTATTTTCACCGATAAAAATTTATCACATATGAGATATCAAGGATATAAATGGAGTCTCTCCCATATATACTCGTTTATAATAATGGATGATCGATGAGTTGCCATATCCTGAAAACTGACTTCTTCTCACTTACACGTATAAATCATAATATGTTCACATACAAAAATGAGCAAAATCCGTTGAACCTGAACGGCATTTCCCATGGCAATTCCCATTTTTGCCAAAAAATTGCCGTGGCTCGAAAGTACGTCGACTGGCGTGCTCCAAAATAGGACGTTTAATATGGGAGCATAGCAGTAACAACTATACCCAATTTCAAACATGTGGTCAAACGGTTCCTGAGTTATCGTTGACCGTAGCCAAATGTTGACGGACGGACGGACAGACGTATGACGGACGACGACCCATGACAATAGCTCAGCTTGACGATGTCAAGGCGAGCTAAAAACTTAATAAATCTGTCATACTTCATCGATATGCCAAATTCAGAATTCCGGCATAACCTCAGGAAAAAAATGAGTTCCAAGGTAACTTTGATGAGAACTGATCTTGCTGGTTAGATGACTATGTCTTACCTTAGGCCCTTGGGGCAGATCAGCATTAGCATCTACAATCGTTGTCTGGTTAGTGCTACCTGCAATACTGTTGTTCAGAAATGACTGCAGCTTAGACTCCAAAGAGAGGCTGCCTTTGTTTGTACCTATCAGAAAAATACATCAACTACAAAACTGTACGCTGAAGTTAGCGACGGCATTATATTACTGTTAATGGTGGATAGGTAAGGCACGACTACTATCATATCACAACAAGTACATTTATTACATTGTCACAGAAACCGATCTTTGAAGGATTATGTGCAGCATTCATGATCAGGGGTTTTATACGTTTTTTAATTAAAATTAGCATGTAATAGTGTTTGCTAACAAGCGTTAAGAACAAACATTATTTTTTGAAAGAAGTGGCTGTGAGATAAAGCAGATGTCTATGTGTTAAACATGTGGTGGGTATATTAACTTTTACTGGAACAGTGAAAGGCAATTAAGGGATGTAGGTAGCATGCAAAAAGTTTCAATAACCGGTAACAGCAATAGTATATTGGAAGAAAGAGAATTCAGTAAGAATACCAGAAAATATCATCTTAAAAACCAATGTGTAACATACCAGATGTAAGTTCTTTGGTGAGCTCAGCAACAGACTTGTGACGTGGTGACAGACTTAGCCCGTCTGGACTGCCATCTGGCGATGGAGGAGACGGAACAGGTGATATGCTGAATATGTCATCTTTCTTTTTACTGTATCCTTCATCCACCTTGACAACGACTATGTACGAGAAAGCATACCCGCAGTTCATATATGAATAACAAGTTTCAATCTTGTCTGCTTCAATGTCATAGTAATGCAATACAGCATCCAGTTAATTCGTGGACAAATGAAGTTGTTTAGAGCTATGCAGAAAGAATGACATAGCAATACCAGCAACCATTGCTTTATCACCAAGTATAGCTGGGTTTACACTACCGACTTTATGTTGTCAAATTGGCGAATTGGATCAATTTCGCAACTATGCAACCGACAATCGGCAGTGTAAACGCAAAAGTTGAGCGAGCAACTGGTCAATAGCAACTAGTTGGGAGATTAGAACATGTTCCAATTTTGCCAACTCGGTATTGCCGAAATCGGTCCAACTACTGACAACATAAAAAGTCAGTAGTGTAACACCAGCTTATTACGATTACAGCCAGATGAACACTAACCTGGAGGAGGGACTGGCCGTGGTATGTATCTGGCAGCTGCAGCTTGCCTCACTGGACCAGCAGCTAGAATATAGTGCCAAATAAATACACCGAAATCACAGCAGTACACCGACAAAGATTTTCATGCTAACAATGAATTCAGGTCCATAGAACTCCAAGTTTAGCAAAGATTTACATGCAAGATTACCATAATACCATGTGACAGGGTTAATAATCGCCAACCTAAGGAGATCACAGAGGACATGTATTTTGCAGCTGACATGGACTCACATTGAATCAGCAGCCAAGTTTGTTAGAAGACAAGCCAATGTTTTAGCCATGTCTTAACCCAGTGTTTCAGCCATGCCTCACCCAAAGTTTCAGCCATGTCTCAGTCCAATATTTCAGCCCCGTATCAACCCAATGTTTCAGCCCTTTACCAACCCAATGTTTCAGCCCTTTACCAACCTAATGTTTCAGTCATGTCTCAGCCCAATATTTCAGCCCCGTATTAACCCAATGTTTCAGCCCTTTACCAACCCAATGTTTCAGCCCT